AGGCAAGCAGCAAGTTATTTGTATTTTGAGATGTTGGAAAATGTTACCTAGGAGACTGTAGAAATTAATATTTACAGTTGAAATATCTGTGCAATGCACCCTGAAAGTATCTGAGTAAGAGTAGCAATCTGGACAATCACTGCCTTGCTTGGGTAGGTGGAGCATGGAATTTCATTTGGGTAAAGTAGAATACAGTAATGACTAAATATGGTGCCTCTGGCATTCTAATGTGGCAGAAGAGAAATATTACAATGCATGGTTTGATGCCTATATAATTGTATAGTAGCTGTCTTCTCCCCCCTGCCCATTTACTTGTCACTGCTATCAATGATATCAATTCTTTCTATCATCCTTGTATGATACGGAAGAGTTGTTTACAGAATTTACTATATTTATTCTATCTGCACCCAGTTTTCACTTCATGATTCCTACACTGATTTGCGTTATCAGGTTGCTTCTCCTACTATTTCCATACCAAACATCAGAAGCAGCATATGATAGAAAGCCAAGCAATTTGGATCAAACCTAAGTTCTGCAGTCCTGGCACATCCAGCATTGAGTGGTGATGGACAATTAAACAACCAACAGGAGGAAGCTTTACAAATGTTCCTATCCTTAATGATGGGGAGACCAGCGTATTAGTACAAACGACATGGCTGAAGCGTTTGCAACCATCTTTAGCCAAACGAGCTGAGTGGATGATCCATTTTGCCTGCTACTGAGGTCCCAGTATCTCAAATGCAAATCTTGAACCAATTTGATCAACTCCACGTAATGTCAAGAAACAGCTGAAGGCACTAGATAATGCAGTGTTTATGGTCATGATAATGTTATAGTACTGAAGATTTGTGCGCCAGAATTGGCTGTGCTATAGTCAATCTTTTCTAGAACAGCTATAATACTTGCACTACACAAAAATGCAGAAAAAGGCCCAGGTATGGCCTGTGCAGGAAAAGTTGGACTTATCCAACGGGTCCATAGCACAGTATCAGTCTACACTCTATCATCAACAAATGATGAAAAGAGCCATTGACTGTGCTATGAAGCAGCTCTTTCAAAACAATAATTGATGCTCAGTTTGTGTTCTAGCAGAGCCATTCAGCTCCTAACTTCCATACAGCCTTGGTCCATCTATCACAATGTAAGATGATTGTGGTGTTTGGAGGTCAGTCACTTCAGTCTGGGGTATGACTGTGGGAATTCCTCCGGATAATGCCCTAAGTCCAACTATTTTCATCTGCCTCATCAGTAACTTTCTTTCAGTCATAAGGTCAGAAGTGGGGATGTTTGCTGGTGATTGAAGAATCACAAATATTATGCAGATGTTAAGGTAATCCATGTCTGCATGCAGCACAACCCAGACAATATCAATGCTTGAGCTGACAAGTAGCAAGTAACAAGGTGCAGGGCTGGATGAACACAGCAGGCCAAGCAGCATCATAGGAGCAGAGAGGCTGATGTTTCGGGCCTAGACCCTTCATCAGAAATGGGGGAGGGGAAGGGGGTTTTGAAATAAATAGGGAGAGAGTGGGAGGCGGATAGAAGAGGGATAGAGGAGAGGATAGGTGGAGAGGAAACAAACAGGTCGAAGAGGCGGGGATGGAGCCAGGAAAGGTGAGTGTAGGTAGGGAGTTAGAAAGGGGATAGGTCAGTCCAGGGAGGACGGACAGGTCAAGGGGGCGGGATGAGGTTGGTCGGTAGGAGATGGAGGTGCGGCTTGAGGTGGGAGGAGGGGATAGGTGGGAGGAAGAACAGGTTAGGGAGGCAGGGACGAGCTGGACTGGTTTTGGGATGCGGTGGGGGGAGGGGAGATTTTGAAACTTGTGAAATCCACATTGATACGATTGGGCTGCAGGGTTCCCAAGCGGAATATGAGTTGCTGTTCCTGCAACCTTCGGGTGGCATCGTTGTGGCACTGCAGGAGGCCCAGGATGGACATGTCGTCTGAGGAATGGGAGGGGGAGTTGAAATGGTTCGCGACTGGGAGGTGCAGTTGTTTGTTGCGAACCGAGCGTAGGTGTTCCGCAAAGCGGTCCCCGAGTCTCCGCTTGGTTTCCCCGATGTAGAGGAAGCCACACCAGGTACAGCGGATGCAGTATACCACATTGGCAGATGTGCAGGTGAACATCTGCTTGATGTGGAAAGTCTTCTTGGGGCCTGGGATGGGGGTGAGGGAGGAGGTATGGGGGCAGGTGTAGCACTT